CCAAACATTATATTAGCAAAATAGTGTGTGTGTGAGTGTGTTTGCTTTTTAGAGGCAACTTTTGGCAGTGATTTTTAAACAATAAATAATTCCAAGCTTGGGCATGGTCTATAGTAACCTTAGGTAAAGAATACCTTGGCTGCTTGTGATCCCCAAATGTATTACAGTTTTTTTTTATTTTTTTGGCAACACCCACTTACAATTTTCAATGTTTCTGCGCCCTCAAAAACTACAAATATCATTCTGTTGCTATTTGCCAACTCATTAATTAACTAATTAGTAATTAAACAAACACACAAATAAATGGGATACCTTATATCCTTCAGTCCTTCTTCAGTGCCAAAAACAGCCTCTTGGTTATCTCTCCTGGCAGAAAAGGCTGAAATGCTATCATATGCGGAGTCCAAATCTTCCCCCTGTTCAGATAAACATTTTCAGCACCCGTTTCCCAAACTCCAGCATTGGAATGGACATTAGAGTTTAGTTTATAAATTGATATTATCAAGTAGGTGGATACACACTTAACCAGGCTAAAAAGGTTTGAACAGTCGATTTCACCAGAAGACCTCATTAAGGAACGAAAAAAGAGCATATTTTATAAAAGATGCAAAAAATATGTACGTCAACAATTTTAAAAGCACATTTCATACAAATGGGAATCAGTAAGCTACCTCCAAGAGCTTCCCTTCATGCTTAAATTGCTCAAACCTGAACCACAAGAAAAAGAATTAGCCAGCCACAAAAACCTTTTTCTAGCAACAATGTTTGTGCAATTTTTCAAATGCAGGTGCAGACTGATAACGAATTGCGTATCAAATATGAACAAACCAAATACAAATATACAAGGGAGCACAAGAAAACATAGGGATAAGCACAATCTTATTAGTGTGAAATACCTACTACAGTATAGTCTCCGAAGCTAATGCAACATATTCCCACCCCAGATTGTCAGATTAAAGGAGAATGATTTGCACAGGTAAATGCCATTTTATCCCACTAAGAAACAACAGATAAGTACGGGGTTCAAGATAAAGGAGGAAAGAGACATGGAGAGAAAGGAAAGCGTAACTGGGAAAGCTCGGGGAGAGAGAGGACGTTGGAGGGACGGAGGCTAGTGCAGATCCAATCCAGGATGGGGCGTGCGTCTTCGTACTGAAAGGGCCATTCAAAGCTATCAGGGTCCAATCCTTCGGCATCTTCGAACCCCAATTCAGCTAACAAGGAGCACAGTCTTGCCCCACTCATGATGTCAATGCTTGTCTCGGGATTCGTTGTCTTCGGCTTGCTCAGATCTCCATTTCGAAGGAAGACGACGCAGAGGAAGATTACGGTGCCGGCCTTCACTTTCAATGTGAGAGTGATGCTCTTGAGTGGACTAGGCGGAGGTCCGGGCCGGGAAAATGAAGTTGAATTAAAAAGCAACTTAAAATTACAATATTGTCCTTCTACTGGTAGGCTCATACAGCATCAAATTTCGATTGGTTGGTCTTCAGTTTAGTTAAGCAGCAATGAAGACTTATTATCTTCCTTAGCCTAGCTTGGCAAAAAAGAAATCTTGCACTTCACCAAGCGGTTATTTCTCATCCAAGGGAAGTGGTTAAGGAATTTCAACAATTGTGCTTTTATCTTTTGGAAGTTTGTGTTTGAATCGGTTCGAATAAAAAAAGATAATGGTTCAAAAGTTTGTGATTCTGGGATGATGCAGAATAAATTTTCTCTGAGAAATCCTCACCTGCTTTGGAGTATAAAGATGAAAAAAATTCAAACAAGGTTGTAGCACCTACTGTTTTGCTGCACTTTTCATCAATTATGTGTTCATGTGAAGCTTTCTTTAAGAGTAATCTTACATTGAGTTAAATTGTTTCAATCTGCTTTGCTTTTGAGGTATGCTAACCCAGGTCAAAGAAGCATATTCAAATAGGGCCTCCAACAGATATGGTCTTGCATTTCAATGCTGCTGAAGGAAATTGTTTCAATGCATTCTTCTAAAACGTTACTTTTCATTTTCGCAAGTGCAAAACATTTACATGCTGCTAACTATTTTTCTTTCGTTTCATTTAATGTTTCTTAGGATTTAGAACTCTTCACTCCCCCATTATTGCAAACCTAGGTACTGTAGACTAATTTCGTTTTATTAATTGATCTTTTTTATCAAAAAAAAAATTATATCAATACATGTATCAACATAAAATATTAAATTTATTCAAATTAGTTTTTTTTTTGAGCTTTATAAAATATGCTGGTTAATTTTTTAGCTATTTAAAAAAGGTATTTAACATGCCAATAAATGTTAATCTAATTGCTAAGAATTTGATTCATAATCTATAAAATTATAGATTTAAATTCTATTATTGACATGAAAGTTTTATCGGTAACCGATCTTAAAAACATACTTTGATGAAAGTGAATTCTTAAAATTCAATTTATCTAAACTTTTGGGACTCAAAAATAAAAAAAAAAGAAAAAATATAACTGTCAGTTAAATATGGAGAAAAATAAAAGTTTATTCCTTTATTTATAAAATCAATCATATAATTACATTTTTTTAATTTGGTGAAGTAATTAGAAATATTTAAAAAAGCCTAACCACGAGGTACACGCAATGGAAGAGAATCTTTCCAGCTCAAGCTGATTCAGTCGTTAACCTACAATTAAAAAAAAAATCAATTCTTTAAAGTTCATATCTATAAATTTTAGTGAAGTTTTCTTATTGTTGGCATTTTTTTATTTTATTTTATTTATTAAAATATAAAATTTTCTCCCTCTTTCTTAAAAGGATAAACTTCACATAAATTTATAGATTTTAATTCAAAGAATTTACATTTAAAACCCCATCACCATTTTGAGAAAAATACGATTTCAACTTCCCTTTGGGTAATTTCATGTTTGCCCCGATGTGGATTGGCACTGTGTTTAATACAATGCTTGACAGGAGAAAAATGTAGAGGGAAGGAGATTGGAAGAAAAAAAATTATATGCGAGACCCACATATTTTTACCTCCAACTTCTCTCCAAATATAGAAAGATTTTGAAAAAACAAACTCAATTTTCAAATTTGTTTTTGCATCTTTTCATTTATTACATGTTGCCTTGCCCCATTTTCTTCTTAACGTTCCCTCATATATTCAATAATTTAAGAAATAAATCAAAAATTGGACAAAATAATTTTTTTTGAGGGTAAAAGAATTTACAATTATATTTTTATCTAGTCAATAATGTATAGTAAAATCATATAAATAATATGTTAAATTATTAAAATTTATCATATATAAATATTTTTTATAAATAATAAAATAATTATTGTTCATATAAAATTAATAATTTTTCTTTCTTCCAATTTTCTCTCACTTACCAAGTATAAAGAGAAAACATTACATCATTCTACGTTTCTCTTCTATCCATTTTCTTCCCTCACACCCTCTCTCTCTTTGTTTTTCCCTGCAAACCAAGCTCAGCGTGAGCGTCTCATTCAACTTTGTGATATAATCTAGACGATTTATATTGGTAATCATTACAATCCACTTGAGTTAGAACCTTGTATACTCTATTTGGATATAACTTTCCGGTCAAAGCTAACATTGTTTGATTTAAAAATTTAAAAATTACCATTGCAGTAACTTTTAATTTCCACAAGCTTTGGCTTGCCTTTGTAACTCCAAAAAAAAAAAAAAAATTAACATCGCAAAAGTCCATCTAAAATAAGCTTGTTAGTCCTTTTTTTTTTTTTTGAACCTGAAAAGCTTGTCAGTCCTTGAAGCATAACCATAAGGTCATGTTTGATAGACTGAAATTGTAGAGATAGAAATAGAATTGAAAAAAAAAATCTAAATAAAATGATATTTGGTAGACATGAATCATAATTTTTAAGAATCTCAATTCCATACAAATAGGTTGAATTAGATTCTTTGTTTAAAACTATGGAATCAAGAACAATTCCATAGAATTGTTACTTTTAAGACACTTTCACCTTCATAAAAATTATAGAAAGACAATTTTGCTTTAAAAACACATAACCCTAACCACACCCAAAAATGACTACACCCAATTATAATATATGTGTGTATGTGTAAAATATAATACGATATATGTATTTATAATATTTCTTCTATGAAATATTTTACTTATATGTAATATTTATCATCTATCTAATATTTTATTTATATACTAAACATGTAAGGAAATTAAAATATTTTTTGTAAAATATTTTACTTATATATAATATCTATCATCTATATAATATTTCATTAACATATAAAATACATAAGGAAATTGAAACACAATTAAGCTTTTATTATATTTTATTTTAATTCTATATAGATGTATTTTTGTCTTTTAAATATAATTCTATTTTCATGTCTTACATACCAAACAAAAATAATGTAAGGATTCCATTTAATTTTTCTGACATACCAAATATATTTTTGTAATTCAATTCTATTTCAATTCTAATTCCGATTCTAATTCTAATTCTATCAAAAACTATTCAATTATATGAGGCCTAACATCTTTTTGCATTTAGGAAAAAGAACATTTGGACATTCATTGTCCCACACTACCATCCCTCCTTTTCAACTACACATCACCAATCAAAAATCTTGACCATTTTAAAAATTATTTCATTTTTCATTTTTCTGAAATGATAATTAATTTGGCAAAAAATACTTTTAGACATTATCCCAGTCTTATTTGATCCCTATTTATTCAATCATTTCCATTATAAATAAAATTAAAAATAATTAACAAAGAAATGTATTAATAATTAAAAGAAAACTTCTTTTAAAGATAGGTTAGATGTCAATTTTGCCCCTAAAATATAGGTCTAGGAGCATCTTGAATCCTAAGATCTTTTCTAGGACAATATTTTCCTTCAACATTTGAAAACAATCCCCACCATTAATAAATATTGACTTTGATTATTAATTAACCAGAAAATTAACTTAGTGAGCCTTGGTTCGGGCATGGCAAGTTGCACAATACAAAGCAAACCTTGACTCAAGGGATCAGCGTGAAGAGCACCTCTTAACTTTAGTGTTTCCATTATCTTAATGCCCCCACTTGGGTTATAAGCTATAGTGACATAGCTCAGCAATTCTCTAACAAAGTTAGAGCCTTATACACCACATATTGTATTCAATACTATACGATCTGGCACTCTGTTCTTTATAAGATGTTCTCAAGTTTCTAACTATTTATGCATAAAACTTGAGAAAAACAACGTCGAAAAGCCAATCTATTTTTATTAGGCATGCAACTCGATTAAAATACTTACTCTCTCTCTCTCTCATATTTTTTTAAACATATAGATCATATTTCCATTCAGATCACAGTTTTTCCTACTCTCAGAGGGCCTGGGAAACCCACCATCATGCATTTTGAACAAACCATCAGAAACTTGTAGAAGTTACTTTAGCAGCAGACTAAGCCACAAATGTTGATAGTAGGACAGATATCTGAAGAAGGAAGAATGATTGCAAACCCTTTTCACGCTGCAGAATCTGATATGTCTACTCTCAACTCCTTCCATTGTGGCTAAAATATCGATCAGCATTTAGTGGCTGGTTCCACGAATTTGCATCACGTGTATCAGACACAGCTCCACCATGCATGGGCGCAAATGCTGCATTGAGATACACTAAAGTTAAAAGAGCACTAAACCCAAACTACAACATAAAACATGGGAAAAAAAAAATGATAATCATTTCAGAGTCTCTTGAGTCACGTGGAAATGGAAGAAATAGCATGTACTTATCAATTAGGGTTATTAAGAACTAACATTTCCTTAGTTCCACTTGACTTCTTGACAGTATCAATTTGAATGAAATTTAAAGGGCTCTCACCATGTTTATATAATTAGATTGTTATATCAGTTATGTAGACAAAAGTAATAAAACAAAATTATAAAATAATGGCTCAAACACATCCAACCGAGTCAACTGTGAAAGCCACTAATAAAGCCACAGCAGGGAAATTGCAACAAATAATTTGAACATTTTAGAAGACTAACAAACTTCGAGCTTCAGGAAGAAAAGCCTAAACAATAAGAAACCCACACTGATAAAATAAGACTTCCATAGGCAATGGCAATTGAAGAAAATATCCATATAATCTTGAACTTCATTATAGTTGGTGATGTTGGATCACAAGCTGATTAACTAGAAAATTGACTACCTTTATCTCTCATTCTTCTTTCTCTGTCATACTCAAATTTATCCCGAATAAAGTTGACTTTTTCCCAGGTATCACCTTGCCTATTTCTTCCAAAACTCTGGTCCTGCATTAGACATAGAGATAATTGACAAAATTACGCACAAATATAGTGCAAAATTTATACAACCAAGAAGAATTAGACAATCAAAAAGTGAAGACCAAAATGGCATCATAGTTTTGCCTAGTTCACCAAGGTACTGAAGGCGGCTAATAGTGATATACCAACATTAATATGCTCTAGGACTCTGAAACCAAAGCTGATTCAAGACCAGAAAAAGAGATGTTTAATAACACATTAACATGTTTCAATGACACGTCCACCAATGGAAACAAATCCATACTTATTATGGTTAGAAATTGCTCAAAATATATGTAAAGTAAAGTAATCCAACATTCGTCAAGTGACCTCACAAAGACAGAGCTGCAACACCAGATGCTACTTCTCACCCATTCTAGGCGGCAGACATGGAGGTCCATCATGTCGCAATGAAGATAGGGTCAATTCAAGAAAAACAAAATCCAAAAGCAAATCCATTTTTATGCATAAAACTCAAATGAAATAAAAAATTCAAGTAATTTTTTATGGCACTTTCTACATTGCCTCATCAATGAGGCCAAATCTTCTCATAATCACAAATTCAAATGGCAAGATTGTACAAGAGCGAGAGATGACAAAAAATTATCAGAAAAAATCATTCTGTGTAGTAAATTTAAAACATTCAATTGTACCTGACTATGCTGCATGTGAGGCACATGAGGCCTCCTATTCCTGAAATGGCATAATATAAAACACCAGAAATCAGACACCATTAATTCACATGGTTGACTTAAAGTTTAAACCATAAATTAACCCACAAAAATTAGATAATACTGTCAGATAAAACCTTAAAGCCAATTGTCTGATAAAAATTGATCAGTACAAGTTTGAATGAGTTGCAAGCCTTTCCTTAGCAATCTATTTCAAACAACATGTTTTCTCTAACTCATGCATGTAAAATTCAAACCGTTTTATTATCTCAGAAGAATTCAGTTTTGACCCATAGCAGGAAAAGAAGATATGTCAAACACACCTGTAAGGGGAGAAATCTTCATCATCATCTTCAGCAGACTCATAGTTTGCATGGTCTTGAGCAATTTTTTTAGAGTAGCCCTCATCCCAATAAAGTCTCTCCCAATTTTCCCTTAGCTCATTATATAGTTCCATATATTTTTTGCACCATGGCTCGTGCTCCTTTCAGTAAAATGGAAGTATTTTAAGACAAAATAAAGGAAGTTTTGAATTTCATACCATATATAAAAAGAAAAAACGGAGGTGCAATTTTAAAGATGTTTGCTATAAGGTTCTCCAAACAAAACATTATTTGTCTGTGTGGGTGTGTTTTGGCACAGAACAGTAAATGACTGATTCTTTCAACCTGAAAAAGTTATGCATACATTATATTCCCATTAGAAAATATCATAGCGAACGCCTAGACAAAATTACCTAAATTTTGTCCTATAAATCATAACCAACACAAAAAATGTCATGACAATTCCATAAAGCAAGTCAATGACACATGAGCATGACATACTCGTCCATCACATTTCTTGTATTAAGAAGGATAATGACCATGTAAACCTCAAAACTAAGCATACAAAGGCAAGGCAGTGATAGAAGACAAGTTTAAACATGTCTCCATTCGTCCATAGAAATATATACAGGCAATTTGATTTGGGTTTATCGTATATCAATTTTTTCCCTCCAGTACTGAAGAAAAGTAAATCAAATCCAGAATCATAATCAGTATAAGAATTCCGTTACTTATTTGCTTATTGTGGTTTTTAAAAAAAACCAAATGACATACTCAAACAGAAGGAAAATCACAACAAGAGTACTAGAATATCTAAAACAACATTCTCTTTTATCTAATTTTGAATTAGCAGGGGCTAACCGACTCCTTGAGAACCAGGCGAGTCCTTCGCATGAACTGCTCCCTCAGCTGCTTCCGACGCTTATTTGGGATGTTCTCTCTGGGGATGACAAAGCGCTCGCGCAAGGGCACGTTATCGCCTATCTCGTGCATTTCGCCGTCTACTATCCACCACTCAGACTTCCCCTCCGCCTTCTGAAACGGCAGCGGCGGAGTCTTGGACCGCCGTCTAGATTGACCGCCGGCGTAGGCTCTAGAAGACCGGAATTGATAACCACCGCGGCCGAGGCATGGCACCACAGCTTGAAGTCGTTTCGTGAGAGAAAGCATGAAGGGTGGAAAAGCCAGTAACAGTCGTCTCTCTCAGTGCTGCATCCGGGTCGGATAGAGATATCGATACCTTCCAATCTTCCATGGGGCGATACGGGTCGAATTCAGGTTTGTATGGGCCCGACCTCGTTTGTATCTTTACGGTATGTTTGGTTACAAAGGAGTGGAGAAATTTTAGGCCTTGTTTGATAGCGTAAAATCATAAAAAAAGAAATAAAATTGAATATAAAATTTGTTAATATGTGTGTTTGGTATACAATAATTATAATTTTTTGGAATTTAGATTCAAGAAAATTTGATAGAATCTAATTCCATCACATACATCATGGAATCCGATTCCATGGTTCCTTTTTTCCAGTTTTCCCCTTCTCCCTCCTCCAATAGAATTTTTTTTAAATTTTAAAAAGGGCACTTTGGTCTTTTCTTATTTTAAGTACTTATATTTTATTAAAATTATATCAAGATTCCATCATCATACCAAATACACTTTTAAATCTAATTCTATTCCAATTCCAATTTTGATTCTGATTTCAATTCTAATTTCAATTTTATTAAAAACTCTTCCATCATACCAAAAATGTTGATGTAGCAAAGGAAAGAGAGAAGAAAGGGTCTCCCAATTTGAAGAAAGATTTTGGTTTAAAATGTTTTTTCCCTCCACCTTATCAATCACACCAAACAAGTCTCCCCTTGTTTGGCAAAGGGGCTCCTCCCTTCCATCCAAACAAGGATAACATTGCAATTCTAATTGAAAATTGATTTCAATATGTATATATCTTTGATTAAATATCTTACTTCCTCTTATATTTTTTTTTCAATAATTAAAAAATTGAATTAAATTGGATGGTCAAATCAATCGAATCGTTGGCTAGTCAAGCTAACTATTTGGTCAAGCCAAAAAAACATCTAAAGAGTTTAGGCTAGATTGAATAGCTTTGGACCAGCAATTGAACTAGAAACCAAGATCAAGCAAGGGATTGGGTCTTATTTTTAAAAACCGGACAATCGGACTTTTCAAAAAACATACCCTTTTTGTTTTTTTTTATATTTTTTTATCAATTTTTAATATTTTTTAATCATTTGATATTATGTTATATTATATAACTTGTTAAGTCATTATAAACTTAAAATATTTAGTTTTATTTTTAAGTTAAATAGTAATTTTATATTTATTTTTTATATTTAGATTATTATATATATATATATAATTTTTTAATTTAATTATTACGTTACTAGTTTAACTATTAGTCCAACCTGATTTGACCATATAAATTATGAACTACTAGCCTTTCTAATTTTACATTTGGTATGCTTATGAAAACATTGCTTTTTTTAAAGGAAAAAATGATAATTAAGTCCTATAAGAAAAAATTAATTATAGTTAGATTCTTAACAAATTCTTTTAAAAATAAATTATAAATATTGATTTAAATAATTATGAATTTAAAAGTTTTTATTACATATGTGATATTTAAATTCTAAATATAATAATTAATTTATAATTTAAATTTTTATTTATAATTGTTTGAATTAATATTTATAATTTATTTTATAAAAAAATTGATCAAGAGCTTAACAATTATTAATTGATTCTTTTGGGAGTTTATCGTCATTCTCTTTTTCTTAAGTCACATCTTAAAAGTTTTTTTAATATAAGTCATTTTCTTTTAGTTTTCGTAACTTTAAAATACAATTTTAAGAAATTTAAAAGTATCATCCATCAAATTTTAAAAATAAATAAAACATTTTAATTTTTATAAAAACTCCTCCTAAATATCAAATTAACTTTTTTTTTAAATTTAAGAAGAAAATTAAAAAATAATTTAATTTTATGAAATTATTATTATTCATTAAAAATTATTTTTAAAAAAAAACCTAGAGGAAGTTATTTTATTTCGAAATTACTCTTTAAGCTATTTAGGATAAGTTCGGAATTCAGATGGTAAATTTTAAGATAGAGAGTGAATAAAAATTAATAGTTTATCTTCAGATGTCACGAAGATGAAAATAGTTAATTAAATAAGTTTTTATACTTTTGCATTTGTTCAACCTTAGTTTTGATTTTGATTTTGATAGTATTACATTATAATTTTTTTAAATTTCTAGTTTGGTCTTTACAATTTATTACTCTCTCTCTTTAAAAATATAAGGTCTTTTTAATCGAGTTTCATCCTTCAATAAAGTTCTTACTTATTTTAAATTAATCTTATCTTTTCATATTTATTTCTATTAACTATCATATAATAAATATAAAGTCACTATCAATAAAAGTACTTAAAAAAATAATGATTACACCTTAAAAAATTAAAAATATTTTACATTTTTAAACATTCAAGTCCTTTAAAGATGTTTTATATTTTTTATCGAAGAGAGTATTTTTATTTTAATTGATAGTTTGGTCTTTCTTTTAACCTGAAAGGAAGTTTGGTCCCTTGTGGATCAGAATTAGAAGTTCTCTTCAAATTTACTCCAAAATTGGAGTATTTTGTTTTACCTAAGGGTTTTTAAATTTGTTTTTCATTTCCAACGATCCTGATCCCTCATTGCTTGGAGAATCCGAGCACAACGGCAACATTTGGGTCTTGGAGGGTGGGACACGTGGCAGTAGGGTCCACAAGAACTCGAATCTACAGCGATTTTCATCTGACGGTCTACGGTGAAGCACCAGAAGAATGGCGGAGCACCTGGGTCTTCTTTCTGACTTCACTCCCTTCCCGCCTTTATTCAGTTGTCCGAAGGAACACTTTCCGAACAACCTTGGAGAATCCTAATCGTTTTCTGAGGCGAAGAGATGTGTGGGAGAGCTCGTTGTACTCTGAGAAACGACGACTTCCTTAGGGCTTGTTATCGCGACAATGGTCCTGTTCGTTCCGTCAATATGGACCGGTTGACTTTCTCTTTTTGTTTATGCCGATTTTGCTTTGTTTTTTGAATTGCAAATAATTGTTTGTTTTGACTATTTTGCAACTGAATAGCCAGTGAAGGAAAATGGAAGCTGGGGATATTATGTTAACTGTCACTTTTGTGAATTCACTTCAAATGGGTCTTAGTTTGATTTCGAACTCGCCCGCTATCGAGCGAACTTGTAATATTAAATTTGACTGCGTGCTCAGGTATAGGCCATCATATAATGTGTCTCCGGGATTTAACGTGCCAGTTGTTCGTAGAGAAGATGCATCTGATAGCGAAGGTTGTGTTCTTCATTGCATGAAGTGGGGGTTAGTTCCCAGTTTCACCAAGAAAACAGAGAAACCTGATCACTACAAGATGGTAAGTTATAAGCTAATATTTCTTTAATCTGGTGAAATAGGGATAAGTAGTAGTAATTTCTATATTATTTCAAATGGGAAGGTTATTCTAATACCGCGTTCTTCCTTGTAATAGTTTTAGTTCAATCTCAAACCTTCTTGTCATGACTATGTATTTATTTTGCAATATTGATGCCTTATACGAGTAAGGTATATGCACTAGTACTTTAGCAACTTTACTTCTCACTACATCGATTTTCTGATTGTTTGTTCTGAATTATTTTACTTTATCTCTCTAGATATTCTAGAGAAGTTTGCCCATATAAGCTCAAAGTTGAGAACATCTTTCTTATGATATTGGTATTTGCCCCCTGTTACATAATTTGACTTCCCTGTACTGGAAATCCATAGGTCTAGCAGGGCAATCGCGTTTCTTTTGAATTTCAAGTTCAACTAGCCTGTCATTATGTCCAATTTGATGCTTAGTGGTCATTTAACAGTGAAGAACAAATGATGGAAATCGGTGAATCCATTTCATACATATGGTTGGAGGGGTAGGAGAGAAATCTCTAAAAATCTTTTTTGTCATTGTGAATGAAAAATTTTCACAATGGAAAGTAAGAAATGCTTATATTTTCCAATAATATTGTCAGCCTCTTTATGAGGCTTCATTTTGTTCAAATCGTTGCTAAGTAGCTTCCATGTTTATAATTTTAATCTATGCTTTTAATTTTTTTTCCCCTTTTTTCCCTACAATCTATGGCCAATTTGTGTTTTTGTCCTTTCTTGCATTTGTTGTCAGGAAACTAATCAACTGAGTGTGATGCCTTGTTTCTTAGAAATATCAGTCAGTTCAGTAAAACATTGTAGCATGGTTCTAAAATTTCATGGTACATGTATCAGGGTGTTCTTGAACAATCTCTAGAGTTCTTTAACTTTAAGATAACTATAAACTATACCCCTTGAGTCCTGTGTATTGATATCAATGGGTGTTATGTGTTTCAGTTTAATGCTCGGTCTGAATCTGTTGGCGAAAAGGCTTCATTTCGCCGCCTTCTTCCGAAATGCAGGTGCCTTGTGGTTGTAGAAGGGTATGTTTAGCATTATAACCATTTTATGATGCATTCATTGTTGTTAGCTATTGCGTGAATTAGAAATGATTCCTATTATTGAACTTTTCTTTCAAAATCCTGTTCCTGTTCCCTTTAAGGCTTTTATATTGTGGGATGTATTTCAAATTTTGAAGTGCATATAAGATCTAGTTTTATCAGTTGTCTTTCAGGTTTTGCAAGTATAATCATAGTTGAAGTTGTAGCTGGGTCAATCTTATAGATAATTTTGATATTCATAGTTATAGTCCCTGAGCTTTTTATTTTTTCAGACCAGATATAGTCGTTGAGCTGCGTAATAGACAATATTGATTGGAATGCATTTCACGGTTTGTGTGTCCCCTTTTTTTCCTTTTCCCCGGCTTGTTGGCAACATAATGATGTTAAAGATGAATCTTCATGGGAAATGATTGTAAGGAAAATTTCATTCTGCAACCTTTTATATTTGAATGCATAGGTAAAAAAAAGGTGGTGAGGTAGTCTGAGGTTAAAGTTATATGTTTATTTATTTAACCAGAAAACAGAAATACAAAACATATAATTTACACGAATAAAATTAATGTTGTGAAAGTAGATATATTGAATGCACTCTCTACTTCTTTAGCATTGTTGTCAATTCTGTTTTGATAGTTCCATTCTGTCAACTGAGACTCGTATATGCATGTATATTTAAGATTTTATGAGTGGAAAAAGGATGGATCAGGAAAACAGCCTTACTACATTCACTTCAAAGATGGACGCCCTCTTGTCTTTGCTGCTCTTTATGATTCTTGGCAAAATTCTGAAGGTAATATTCCTGGAGAAAGATGAAGAGTGGGATTTGCATTTTACCACTTGAAAGTTAAATGCTGCTTGCTATTGGGTGAAGATGGCAATATTTTTTTGTGCA